TCATCCACTCCTCCCTAACCTCTGGCATTGTTCCCACAGCTTTCAAATCTGCGGCCATCACCCACATCATCAAGAAACCAGGTCTTGACTTTACCAATTTCAGTAATCTTCGTCCAATCTCTAATCTGCCCTTTATTTCCAAGGTTCTTGGAAAAAGCCGTTGCTAGTCAACTTCACTCTCACCTATCCAACAATAACATTTATGAAGCGTTTCAATCTGGTTTTCGCCCCCACCATAGCACAGAAACAGCTCTAATAAAAATAACTAATGACCTTCTTCTTGCTGCTGACTCTGCTCTTCTGTCTATCCTCATTTTACTGGATCTAAGTTCTGCATTCGACACAATCTGTCATTCTATCCTCCTCAACAGACTAACCTCCATTGGCATCTCAGGTACTCCGTTAGACTGGTTCAAATCATATCTCTCTGACCGCACTCAATTCATTCAGCTCAAATCCTTTCGTTCCCGTCTCCACGGGTGTCCCCCAAGGCTCTGTCCTCGGACCCCTCCTCTTCATCATTTACCTCCTTCCTCTAGGTCACATCTTCCGTAAATTTGGTGTCCATTTTCACTGTTATGCTGATGACACACAGCTCTACCTATCAACAAAACCAAACTCCACCCACCCACCCTCCATCCTCACCGACTGTCTCAATGAGCTAAATCACTGGTTTTCTAACAACTTCCTAAAACTAAACAGTAACAAAACAGAAATCATTCTTGTCGGTACCAAAAACTCTTTCTAAATCAGAAAATCTTCTCATCCCCCTTAACAACTCCCTGCTACCCCCCTCGCCTCAGGTCAAGAGTCTTGGTGTCATCCTCGACACCACTCTCTCCTTCACTTCACACATCTACAAAGTCACTTGGTCTGCCTATTTCCATCTCCGAAATATTAACCGTCTCCGCCCTTCTCTCACACCCCGCTCCACAGCTATCCTTGTGCACAGTCTTGTGACTTCTCGGATTGACTACTGCAACTCCCTTCTTTATGGCCTCCCCAACAAATTTCTCCAGAAGCTGCAATTGTTCCAGAACTCAGCTGCCCGTGTCATCACTCAAACCTCCTCCTATAACCACATCACTCCAGTCCTGAAGCAACTCCACTGGCTCCCGGTAAAATCACGCATCGTCTTCAAAATTCTTCTTCTCACTTTTAAAGCTATCTACAACCTTGCCCCTCCGTACCCATCTGACCTCCTACACATCTCCATCCCCTCTCGCTCTCACAGATCCTCCTCTTCACTACACCTCCATGTACCCTCTGCCCGCCTCTCCACCATGGGGAGCAGGACCTTCACCTGCTCTGCCCCTCATCTCTGGAACTCTCTACCCTGACTTAAGAAACACCACCTCTCTTTCTATATTCAAGACTGCTCTGAAAACACATCTCTTTAGACTCGCTTATCCTTAACTTTGCTGTATGTATTTTATATTCTTTACGCATTTTATATTCTGTATGTATTTTATATTCTTTATGTAATTTATTCCTGCTGATCTTTGTTCTTACTGTAAAGTGTCCTTGGGTGTCATGAAAGGCGCTTTTTAAATAAAATGATTATTATTATTATTATTAACAGAATGAATATTATTGTTTCATGGAATCTCGTTTAAACTCACATCTGACTGCATGCATTTACAGTGTGAGATGTTGTTATCAGTCACAGGTTGTGACTGTTGTTCTTGTTCTATGGTCACTAATCAGTTCATGACTACTGTCATCAATTAGTTTATTTGATTAATAATCAGTTCACTTATTATTAATCTGTTCATATTGAAGAGCCGTGGATCTGCTCTGCTCACGGCCTTTTCAGCCTCTCCTCTTTCCCATTGGAAACCTTTCCGGGGCGTTCATGCAGTCGGAACTCGTATCTACGCAGCGCGCGTCTGTGCATGGTGCGCGTAATTATGCACATGGAGAGCTGAGTAACAAGTTTTTTTTTTTTTTTTTGGGCAAGCGGGCGCTTCATATGGTGTTCGAATGGACCCAGTGAGGCAGAGACTACATCTTGCTTCGCCTTTAACCCACCAGCGACAGCTCTTAAAGGGCGACGCCTATACGAAATAGAACATTGGTTACGTACTGTTCCAGATTCTATGAGTATAGGCGTAGCCCTTTAAGCGTCGGGCCTCATTGGCTCCTAAATGGCTGAACAAAAAAAGCTATTTGGGAGCCTTTTACCCGCTCTTAACGTAATTTATACGGACCGGGTGGGGCCCACACAACAGGTGGGCGTGGACTAAATTTTTTCAGTGCGATGTTTTTGCATGACGGGATAAACCCACTAGCGACAGCCTTAAAGGGCTATGCCTATACTCATAGAATCTGGTGTTACAGTACGTAACCAATGTTTTAGTTTCTCTCCATTGGCTCCCTGTCAAATCCAGAACTGAATTCAAAATCCTATTTCTAACCTACAAAGCTCTCAACAACCTGGCTCCATCTTATATTACAGATCTTATTGTTCCATATTTTCCTAACAGAGCACTTCGCTCTCAGGCTGCAGGTTTACTTGTGGTTCCTAGAATTTACAAAAACAGAATGGGAGGCAGATCTTTCAGTTATCAGGCTCCTCTCTTGTGGAACCAACTTCCAGTTTCTGTCCGTGAGGCTGACACATTGTCCGGTTTTAAGACTAGGCCCAAGACTTTCCTTTTTGCTAAATCCTATAGTTATACTATACTATACTATACTGTACTATACTATACTGTACTGTCTTTATTTACTCTGCTCAACCTGTTTTGTATTTGTAATTATTTTTTCTATCCTTAACATGTGTTTTTTTGTCTTTCAGGAACACCTGGACCTATATCTGGACCTACCATTCTGTGTTTGTCTGTCTCTCCTTCCTGTCCTCTCAAACCAGCCGGTCAAAGCAGATGGTCTCTTGTCCTGAGCCTGGTTCTGCTGGAGGTTTCTTCCTTTTAAAAAGAGAGTTTTTCTTTCCACTGTTGCCACTGTGCTTGCTCAGGATGGGAGACTGCAACGAAGCCAAGATTCAACTTGTCTGCTGGATTCCTTAGATAGAGAACTTTACTAATTGGCTTTTATGTGAATGTTTCTGTAAAGTGCCCTGAGAAAACTTTGTTGTGATTTGGCGCTATATAAATAAACTAAATTGAATAGAACAAAAGAGTAGAGAATAATACAAACATCACATATATAACACATAACACAACATGAAATTACAATAAAAGATATGATGCCATAAGAAAATAAAGTAATCTACACGAGTGCACCTCTGGTTAGTTTTCAGCCAAAGTTTCAAAGAGTTTTTAAAGCTGGAGTAGGTGTTCCTGATGGAAACTGGCAGTGTGTTCCACGACTGCGTGCCTCTGATGGACACCACCATCTGACCACATTTAGTTCAGCGTCAAATTCTAATCCATAGGGTTCAATATGACATCGGTCCACCTTTTGCAGCTAGAACAGCTTCAACTCTTCTGGGAAGGCTGTCCACAAGGTTTAGGAGTGTGTTTATGGGGATTTTTGACCATTCTTCCAGACGCGCATTTGTGAGGTCACATACTCATGTTGGACAAGAAGACCTGGCTCTCAATTTCCGCTCTAATTCATCCCAAATGTGTTCCGTCAGATTGAGGTCAGGACTCTGAGCAGGCCAGTCAAGTTCATCCACACCAGACTCTGCCATCCATGTCTTTATGGACTTTGCTTTGTGCACTGGTGCACAGTCATGTTGGAAGAGGACGGGGCCAGCTGCAAACTGTTCCCACAAAGTTGGGAGCATGGAATTTCCAAAATGTCTTGGTATGCTGAAGCAGTCAGAGTTCCTTTCACTGGAACTAAGGTTGTTTTCACACCTGATAGTCCGGTAGACTCGGTTCGGTTCGGGACCAATATTCATGACATTTTGTTACATTTGAGCTGGTGCGTTTGCATTCACACTGCACTGTGCAGTTGAGTCAACCTGCTGAACCAACCTATTACCCCGCTCGCCTGTGATGGCGCTGCACCAAGAACTACTGAAAGAAACTCAAAAACCTCTGAAGACACGTCGTCTTCTTCTTCTGGAAATAAAAACAAAAACAGAGTGGTATCAAGTTTTAGCAGTTTAAGGAGTTATATTTTGTCATTTTTCAACAATGGACTCAGCATGAGCAGAAGATGAGGCAGAAGACCATGGAGAATATTGTTTTTCACACAAGGCAGCTGACGGCTCCATATGAAGTAAGAGAAATGCGTGTTTGTTTGCCCTGCGCTGTCCTCCACTTCTTGCTTGTGGAGCAGGGCCCAGTCTGTTTACATTCACACTGTACTAGAACCACGCTGGAGTTCTTTTCTACCGGACCCAGACCTAGGTTTTAGCCCGGGCCAGAGTTCGCCTTTTTGTTCCGTGACAGAGTTCGATGGCGCGTTCACACCTCCCTAAAAGAACCGAACTTTCTAGGAAAACGAGCTAGAGTTCGATTAAAGCGGACTAAACAGGGCTGGTGTGAATGCACCCTAAGGGGCAAAGTACCAGCTCCTGGAAAACAACCCCACATCATAATCCCCCCTCCACCAAACTTTACACTTGGCACAATGCAGTCAGACAAGTACCGTTTTCCTGGCAACCGCCAAACTCAGACTCATCCATCAGATTGCAAGATGAAGTGGGATTTGTTACTCCAGAGAACATGCCTCCACTGCTCTACAGTCCAGTGGCGTCGTGCTTTACACCACTGCATCCGATGCTTTGCATTGCACTTGGTGATGTATGGCTTGGATGCAGCTGCTCGACCATGGAAACCCATTCCATGAAGCTCTCTGCGCAATGTTCTTGAGCTAATCTGAAGGCCACATTAAGTTTGGAGGTCTGTAGTGATTGACTCTGCAGAAAGTTGACGACCTCTTCGCACTATGCGCTTCAGCATCCGCTGACCCCGCTTCGTCAGTTTCCGTGGCCTACCACTAACCTTACGCTATAGTTGTAAACCTGAAAGTTTATTTTTAAAAAGTACATTATCAAAGTAACTTAAAAGTAAATCCAAACATACCTCCTCTCCAACCATGTTCCATAGGTGGATAAGTGGAAGACCCGTGTTGTTATCGTAGTTTGAGACCTTACAGAAAACACAAATACAGTTAGCTTTGACTGAGTCACTCTGCGGACCTGCAGGGGTAAAGGCAGTCTCACCTGCGCTAGCAAAGGAACACCTCTAGTCATTTCCTCCAAAGCTGATGTAGCTTCAGCTAAGAAACGATCCTCCCCTGATGAAGAAATTACATGTCAAGGATTAGTGCGGTATATACTCCTTGAACACGTTGCCTGATGTCAAATCTGTTTGTACGGCTCTCTGCAAACAATTACAGCTCCTTTGTTCATGTTAAATAGTAAAAACAAAGGAAAAATTTGATAAATGGACTGTACTTAAAATAGCACCTTTTTATCTTATCAAGACACTCAAAGCTCTTTACAACAATCTGTGCCTCATTTTCCCATTCATACAGCATTCTACTATATCTCTACAAAGCTAATTGAACAAATCATTATAATGAGACTAATCAGAGCGTTATCACATTCATACACTGAAGGACACAAGCAATGAGGGGTTCAGTGTTTTGCCCAAGTTGGGGGTGGATTCGAACCCCCAACGCTTGGATTGGAGGACGACTGCTCTAACCATTTAGCCAGTCGCCCATACACAACAGTGGCTTTATAAATAACAGTGAACACAAATGACAGAAAAAAAAAGTTAAATCATGTCATCTGGACAGTTTCTTTTTAGGAGAAATATTTTGCCTTTCATTCGAAAAAGTTCAGTCTGAGGCCTGCCAACCCAGATCTGTCTTATAAACAGCACTTCCTGGATGTGCTTCAATCCAGCCCTCTGTGGAATTCACAGAAACTGGCTTTACACAGGCAAAAAGGAGACCATCCATCCAAAACAATCAATCATCATACATAACAATCAAATGTTTTAGGCCAGACGGCCAACTTGCTACTTACAGAAACAACCCGAGGACAATCTGGCCAAATTGGTTCAGAAAAAGGTTTGAAAGCTCAATCAACCAGGTAGATAAAATCACAAAAAGGGTTAAAAAAAGGGCAGCATGACAGCTCAGTGGTTAGCACTGTTGCCTCACAGCAAGAAGGTCCTGGGTTTGATCCCCGGTTGGACCTGGGGTCTTTCTGTGTGGAGTTTGCATGTTCTTCTCGTGCTTGCGTGAGTTTTCTCCAGGTACTCCAGTTTCCTCACACAGACCAAAAACATGCATGCTCGGCTGCCTTCAGGCCCAGACCTCCCTTGCAAAAGAGATCTGTGACCTCAATGGGATTTGCCTAGTTAAATCAAGGTTAATAATAAAAAAAAAATAATAATAATTTTCTGTGCAGCCTTCACCACTCTCTGCAAAGCTTTTCTTTCTGCAGCTGTGCAGCCTCCATGCCACACGATGATGCTGGAGCACAGGATGCTCTCCACTGCACACCTGTAGAAGGAGGTGAGGACTGAGCTTCCAGACCAGCTCGTCTCAGCCGTCTGAGGAAGTAGAGTCTCCAATGAGCTTTCTTCATCAGGCTGGTGGTGTTGTTGCTTCAGCTGAGGTTGTTGTTCAGGTGCACACCGAAGTACTTTAGCTGGAGACCACTTCCACCACAGATCCTCTTATGTTCAGGGGGGTGTAGATGTTTTTGGTCCTTCTGAAGTCCACAATCATCTCCTTTGTCTTCTTCACATTGATGTGAAGGTTATTCTCTTTGCACCATTTAGAAAGTACATTTAAAAACAGCAGCTGATACCAATACTGTTTAACAATAAAAATCAATGGTACTACCAGTAATTTAATGAATATTTACAGCATTTTACTGGTACTATTTGACATCCGGTCACATGACCTCGTTAAGATTTCTGTGTAATATTTCCTGGTATATAATTTTTTAATAATTTCAGTTACGTAGGTGCATGGCACTGTTCAGTCCTGTGATTATGCTTAGATAGTTATTGTGTTCATTTTGAAGGTATAATGATTGTAACCATGAGTCAGACAGCGAAGCTTCATGAATACTCGTAATCATCTTGCAGTATGAGCGTATGTTGAAGCAAGCTATATTCTGTGAACGCCATCAAGTGGCTGATTCTTGTACTACAACAAGAAAACAGCACTGAAGGAGCCGGGCACACATTCATATAATGAATGGTGGATGTCTGCGGCTTAATAGCTGGGGCGTCTTATTTATGTACAAAATTTGATTTATCTTATATTAATATGTTCGGCTTAAGAGACAGGTGCATTCTGTAGTCCGACAATTACGGTAAATGTTTATAGAGGCATCAATGCAACGGCTGCCCAAAACGCCAACTTAACTTTGCAATAATCTCAGCTCAGAAAGAAAATGGTCAAACTTTTGTCTGAACTCTATGTGAAATATAGAGAACCAAGATTGAAAATTATGTTATGCTGCTGCCTGTGGCTCATTATGGTCATCATGGTAACACCCGTCTCTAAAAATGTCTATAAAAAAGTTCTAATAAATCTGCCACATGATCATACTTTCTGACTGGAAGGAATGATGGTGGGATGACCCCACAAAATTAATGTACTTCTGTTTAATTATGACAAATATATAGAAGAACCAGACAAATCTGAAAGTCACAAATTTTAAAGTCAAACATCAAAGAAAGATGATACAATAAACTACCTACAACCCCCTACCCCCAGTTACATGGAGAATATTTAAATTACATTCCTGGTATACCTGGAAGTGGGGCGATGTTGTCCAGCAGGACCTCTGCTCCTTGAAATGGAAGTGTTACAAAATCAGACCTAGAGGAGAAACAAAAACTCTGGTTAAGAAATATAATGTGGACATGCATGTGTCAACAATCAAACGTCCACTGTGTGTTTCCTGTTGAGAGGGGTGAGGTTTAACACCACCTCACCAACAATGATCTCAACATTCAGCTGAGACATGTGTGCACATCTTTAATACATATCGTATTTTTCGACGTACACGTTGCACCACTCTATAAGTCACATCAATCTAGATATGTCTAAATAAGTGGAAAAATCCATAAATATGTTGCTTCACCGTATACGTCACATCTATTATGCGTCACCGCCGACGCATCATGTTTGTTAGGCATCAGCGGTGAAAAACCGGAAATGTGGGCCGAACCTGGAAATGTGGGCCGGTGTTGTGCCAAAAATCGATGGACTGCCAAATGGTGGCTGCGGGAGCGTGCATGTGAAGACTTTAACAAGATTAACACTTGAAAACAATTATTTGTTTCCTCGAAATTATAGTAAATGTGTGTCTCAGTCGAACTTTTGCTTAATAAATACAATTTGATGGTCAAATCAGCAGTATTTCAAAAGCCGATACGCGGAAATAAACACGTGCACACGACGAGTTGCTGTGCAAATTTAACAAGATAACCACCTAAAAACAATCATTTGTTTGCTCAAAATTATAGTAAAAGTGGGCGTCAGTCTAACTTTTGCTTAATAAATGCACTTTGACAGTCAAATAAGCTGTATTTCAAAAGTATTCGCTGGCTCGGTGCTCCCGGGAGCGAGCAGAGGAAGGACAAAAAAGGAAGGAGGAACGCTGCTCGTTTCTTCGAAATTTAACAAACACCTAAACAATTATTTGTTTGCTCGAAATTATAGCAAAGGTGTGTCTCAGTTGAACTTTTACTTAATAAATTAACTTTAATGGTCAAATTAGCTGCATTTCGCTGGGACGGAATAGCTGGTTTTACATTGAGCATGAATCTGTCATGTTTGGACCCCTGCCACACATTTATCATGTTCTGCTCCTCTGATCAGCTTTGGGTTTATGCTCTACTCTGGCCAGTTCCCCTCTGTCATTTCTAGCTGCCTGTCAATCAACCCTGTGCAGCCTGTCTGCCTGACCCTCCCTGCTCACAGTAATCAGTGCTTATGCTCTACACCTGTTGCCAGCCCTTATAAACTCAACTTTTGCCACAGCAAGGTGCCAGATTATTGAAAGCCTCACAGCAAGTAAATTATCCAGCAGTCCTCGTCCACAGTTTCTTTGTTCATGACCACAGCTTTGTTCTCGACTCCACGCCTTGTCTTGCCCTTGTCTGGATACCACGCCTGCAGCTTACACGGTACGACCTTGCT